TATGAGTCGAATTGACTCGTTCCGTAAATCTAATGTTAAAAATTGCTTCAAATAAAGAACCAAAAGTTACATTAGTACATACCACAAAAATTGAACATTCTCATTCATGGAATAGTAAAAAAGATTTCAAAGCTTCACCTACTTTTTACACACCTGACAGTGGTACAGTGTACATTGGATAATTGCAACACTCAACGGGACTGGAAGGACGCAATTATGAGGAGGCAGAATCGAATCCACTCCAAGAAACGGAGATTTTAGCATGGCGGACGTAGAAAAGGACAACGCGAGTGAAGGAAAAAGAAAAACTGAGAGTCGAAGCGTTCGACATCATTAATACGTTAATTACCAGCGTTTATTTCGGTGACAATCTCCGCGGTTGCCATATTCTATTCGACTGAACAAATCTTCTAAACAAAATATTGAAGAAATGAAACTGAAACGAGTCATTGAGTCCCCAAATATAATGCCGTAGCTTATAGCCTTAAATAACAATATTTATAGGAATAGTTTAATCTTTTGTATGTAAAATACAACATTGCTGCCGTCACAAATATGTGACGCTGGTAGCGAACGCGTTAAGGGCTCGCATGAGCTTGGGACATTTAATTCAAAAATCAAACTTCTTTATTTTTCACTTCTGGCGAATGAAACTTTCATGTTTCTTGTATTTTCCTGATTAAAATGATACCAATCACGATTGATTTACAATCATAATTGCCTGTATAATAAGCAATTGAAATTTCGGATATAGAAAAGGACTGCGAATAGAAAAGAGACGTTGAAATCGTCGAGTTTGACAATCATTGATAATGCTATTGCCGGTTGTCGAGGACTATGGCGTCCTGTCAAACTATGTTTGAGGACGAATATCGACATTTTGACGAGATCAAGATTTTATATTTAAAATACTATGTTGCAAATGATTTATACTGTCGGTCAAAGGTCTGGAACACTCGATACGTAACGTCACAAATGAGAAATTATGTATTTTATAAATGTATAAAATTAAATAACAAAGTGATACATCTTTATATTTGACTAATACACATATATCCATGTTCCTTCGTCATGCACAAAAATTCTCTAATAAAAGTTGTTTACAAAAGGTGGAAGTTTCCCTTTTAAACGATGTATCGATCTCGAACGGTTTCCGACAGAGTAATTACTAACACACTAAAACATCAGTATATAGTTCCTTCTCTCTCTGTTATTTAAACACCCGATATATAATTCGACTTTATCTAATGAAGGTTTTGAATACTTTAACCAGACAATTGCGTTTAACGACAATACACGTTATCTTAAAGCTTGAACACTAATTCTTTCAACAATGAATTATTTATTTCTCTGATAAACATGTAATTCTCTTTTGTTTTTGTTTGGTTTTTCATTGGGCACATTCGTCCTGCGTTTAACGAGTGCGCACTTCATTTTTTCATTTGATTGCGCGCAAAAGAGATTTTTCAAACTAAATTCCACAGTTAACAGTTTAAAGAATACTCCTCCGCAGAGAGTTAACACTTTGGCTACCACTGAAAACTTCAGCGTTTTATGTATCATTTATTCCTTTGTTGCAAAAATGAGAAAGGTGAGCTCAATCAAATCGAATTACTATAATTTATTCAATTAAACCATGACTAGTTGGAAACATCTCTGTATTGCTAGTAATACTACCTAATGTAGTGACATTCAACAGGATGAATTTGCAATAATAATAACGCGCTTCAATTACATAATTTGATATTAGATTATTCTCATTTTGCATATTTTCCACGGCAAAATCATGCGGCACTCAACGTGTTACTTATTTGTTATTACAATGTTAACCTTACACTATTATCTAATTATTTAGGCTAACGAACATTTTTGTTCGACGTCAGTTATCATACAAATTATAATTATTTTCCAGTAATTGTGAAGCTTCGGTCATCGATGACCCCGTGGTAGTCAACATGTTAAAAGGAAAATGTAAATGTTTGATTCTGGGACTTCATTATGGCCGAGGATGGAACACCCTTGGAGCTTTCGTGAGTAAAAATCCCACAATATCCTTTGCTCCCCCAATGAGCGAGGAATGCCTGATACAGGTTATCCAGGGTAAAAAGAAGAAAAACTGGGAATGTGGTGGGGATGACGATGTTGCAATAATAAAAAGGTCCTCAATGTTGCAATTACGTTCACTATAACCCCTTAGCAAGCTAATGAATCAGTCCCCCTAATATTTGGCAAGGGATCAACAGGTGTAACACGGTTCAAGTGGAATCACGATACGCGTACCCGAGAAGATGGACGCTGAGATCAGCCAAACATCATTTCGTGTGGTTCGTTGGCTCCCGCGCGGTCCACTGTTTAAAAGACCGATCGGGATTGGCAACGGTCCCGAGAAACCCTACCGTGGAATTTCATCTGCAGCTGATCGCACGTGACCGTGGCCATTTCTGTAGTCGGCAGATCTCGCCCACGGTCACATGAAGCATTCCGATCGTCGCGCGAAGCGTTCAAGACCATATTTAACACTAGAACTAGCAAGCAGTCAAATTTACTTTTCAAAATTCCTCTATAGAAACCCCAAGAGTGCATCTATCGAGACTTCGATCACCCGAAACTTAGTTTGCGTATTGCTAAAACAATTTCTTTTGAAATTTCTTAGAGAAGGAACTATTATTTTTCCGATAATTGTAAAAGAAGAGTTTAGGAACGGGTCTTTTTGACCCATATGGTAGTTCTAGTGTTAACGCTAGACTTAACATTTATGGTACGTTTTGTGGTATCGTTCTTAACGTGTTGACCGCCGCGGTGGTCATCGATGACCGGAGCGTCCAAATTACTTGGAAACAATTACAGGAAGAAAACTGATGTCGAATTAAAATGTTTAGTAATATGAGTAATTAAACAATAGTATAACTTAAGAATTATTATATCAAGCCATTAACACTAGAATTTACCGAGCATTTGATACGATTGATATGTAATCCCTATCAAAATTGTAACAATCGATTATTTTCAGTTTCTTCAGACATTCGTTATAGTATTCAAATAACAGTATTTTTTTCAAAATCACTTGGAGTATTCAATGCTTCGAAGATATCAATAATTTCGAAACAAAATAAAAACAACCAGACATTTTGACTGGTGCGGTACTTCTAGTGTTAATAACTGATTCTAATACCATTTGACTTTGTTATGATACGATAAGTAATGTTATACGAAATGCTCTAAATCCTCGTGACAGTTAATGTATCAACACTAACCGTGCCGGTTGGTACTTTAATTTATTTTAACGTTAAACAATTTAACGTTACACCAATTCTTATATTGTCCGATTAATCAGTTTTCCAACGTTCGACTTTCATTTTGTTTCTGTTCCCGCTAAGAAAAATTTATTATCTAACTTGTTTACCTTTATTTTCTATCTAGTTATTTGATTGATTATGATAGGAAAAGTACCGGTACGGTTAGTGTTAAAGAAATTAGATGTTCGTTCTATGGATCTCGGGAATTAGGACTTGACCCTTTGCAGTCGTATTAACTTTATGTACAAACGACACAATTTTGACTTGTTTTTAAATTTTGGACAAGTTTAATACAATAATAGATCTGCATTTTATATACATTATTTTAACAATATATATTATGATTTTTTCATTTTTATTTGTAATTAATGATTTTATATTTTAATTATGTAACTTCTATTTATAACTTATGATTTTATATTTTAATCATTTTTATTTTATACTATCAAAACGGTGAGATTGTTCTATCGGGCATAGTTCGCCTTACGATCGCAAAGGGTTAACACTAGAACTACCGAACAGTCAAATGGACTTTTTGAAATTCTTCTATAGAAACTTCAAGAGTGCTACTACCAAAATTTCTATTAATTTACAATTCAGTTTGCCTGTTGCTAAATCACTTTCTATAGTGATTTCGCAAGGAATCGTCTGTTATCTTTTTAGTAATTGTGAAAGTTATTTTGGCCTGCCTGGTAGTTTTAGTATTAACATTTTACCCAGCGAGATCCGAATAATCGGATTTTTAATGCCACTGCTTATCGACTGGAATTCTTTTTTAAGCCAGTGATTATCGAGTGAAATAACATTGCATCAATTATGTCATTGTTCACACATTGGTGATCGTATTATAAACTGTTTACACAGATAAAATATTTTGAAACTATTTTCTCTATAATTAATCGAAGTCACCCTGCCAGTATTAGCGACGTGTTTTCATCTCATCAAGCCGGAGATGAAGTATTAATTAACACTAGAACTAGCGATCATTTATTATGATTAATATTTGGTTCTTATAAAAATTGTAACAATAGATTCCATTCGGTTTCTTCGTGTAGTTATTATACTATCCAAGTGAAACTATTTATTTTGAAAATCGTTTCGGATATTTAAGCCTTTTAAGATATCAATAATCGCGTTCACAGAGAAAATGAACTTAAACTGTTATCAAATAGTCAAATATCAATTGTCAAATAATGTTTTGTAAATTTGTAAATCTAGTGTTAATTTTCCGAAGTCTGTAGCTGAATACCATGAAGTCCACTGTTCAAATGTGTGAACATGAAAAGTATATGATAGAACTGTATTATTGATATTTCGCTACAGAGTTCGAAATAACATAGAACTACGTTATTGGCATTCTTACGAAAAATTAAAAATGACGTAGGACTAGGTTATCGGTATTTAATTAAAAAATTAAAAATAACGTAGGACTACGTTACTAAACTTTCTCTAAAAAGAATTAAAAACAACATAGGACTACCTAATCGGGACTAAAAAAAAATCAAAAATAACATAGTTGCTAGTAATCAGCTGAGAAATTTAAAATGACGTAGGACTACATTGTCGGTCTCGAATAAGTTAATGACGTAACCGTATTACGACGAATCGTGGATCCCCGCCGATCTGTGGAAAAATCGACGGGCAGCCTTGGAATAACCGCCGATAAATAACGGAACCTAGCAGCTGGAGTCGCCGAGTTATCGGGCAAAAAGTCGTACTCCGATAAGAAGAAGAAAAAGGGAACACGAACCACTCAGTCCGACTTAACGTGATCTACGTGAGCGTCAGAGTTTCTCACTGTGTGCGCACGGATTTTGCATTTTTTTTCGAGGCAATCAGGAAACGAGGACTGTAATCTATGATTTATGAACTATTTGTATTGTATTGTTTCAGAACTTCGAATGGTCAAGGGTTAAAATAAGGTTGAGAGACACTGGTGTATGCTACATAAAAACGTACGTCTTACTGGGAGGTAATTTAGATACTTTTTTTATGGGCAGTTAGGTAATGATGATTGTAATCTATGTACTATTTATATAATACTGTCTCGGAACATCAAATGGTTGAGGAACACTGGTGAATTGCAAACGGAAATGTACGCTCCATAGGAAGACGTTTTAGACTTTCTTCCCTGGACAATTAAGAAATGACATGCATAACCCATGATTTATAAATTACTTAGATTATACATACTATTTCAGAATTGCAAATGCTTGAGAAAGAAATTAATTTAAAGAAGATTGAGGGACACTGGTGTTCGGTAATTAGGCGGTGATATTGTATATTCGTTTTGTAATATACAAAGTATAATATAAAACCGATATTCACCGAAGAAAATCAAACTAAAAATATTGGATACCTACAAAAGTTCTCATTAATGTGCAGAAAAGAGTACAGGTAAAATGAAAACAAAAATATTTTACATTAATCAATTACATAATTTTCATTATTATTAACACGTTCGCTGCCAGCGCTAATTTCGGTGTCGGTCTCCTCAATTATACTTTCTTCAATGCAATAAATCTTCTAAACAAAATATTAGAAAAATGAAACTAAAACGAGTCATTGAGTTCCTAAGTGTAATGTCGTAGTTTATAATTTCTGATAACAATATCTATAGGATTAATTTCATTTTCATTATGTAAAATATAGTATTACGGCCATCACAAATATGTGATACTGGTAGCGAACGTGTTACCAACACATTCCAAACATTTTAACATTTCTCTAAACCAGAATTTCCCTTGCTTCATGAACCACAAAAATCCTTTACTTGGACCACCAAAGCTTTTGTACATATCCGATAATTCAACTTATCTTTTTTATTTAAAGTACTTGTTTAACACTCGAACTACCGATCGCTTAAACTGACTTTTACAAATTTCTTTATAAAAACCATAAGCGTGCGTTTACTGAGATTTCAATTGGGTTGTATTTCAGTTTTGCTATTACTGAATTAGTTTCGTTAATAATTTTTCGTAGTAAAAGAAGAAATCAGAAATAAGTCGTTTTGACCCATCTGGTAGTTCTAGTGTTAAATTGTAGTATTTCATAACTTCGTTGGCTGTGATATTAGCGGAAACAATAAAATCTGAATCGCCGAGGTGGGACTGAAAAAAAGTTGAGGGTCACTGGCGTACGCCAGACAGGAAAGATGTCTGGCTCGCTGAGATTCCAATGTCGAGACTGAGTATTTCGGAAGATTAAAACTCGATTGCGCATATTGACGGAAAGATAAAGCCGGCGTGATAAGAAGGCGGAGCATTGCCTTCGGAAACAGAATGAAACCGAATAAACTGAAACGCATAGTTGATCTCGTGACGAGGACGCCGGATTAACCCTCAGCGTCTCCCATTCACGCGCACGCGTCGGTGTCAAAGGTGAACCGCCAAACACGGAGAGCTCCCCAACTGGGACATTGACTTTTTAATGAGCCCTTGATAAACTCTGCCACCTGGCAAGTCGAGCACACCGGTACCCCTATTTTCAGAGCCAATGGTTGATGGTTTGCCAAGCAAACGTGAACTCATTCTTTTCCGTTATTTAGGTTAGTTTGGTCGCGCTAAACAATATAGGGCAATTATTGAAATTAATATACGAAAGTTCGTACGGCGATCAAAGTCATTGATTAAGCAAAATTTCCAAGGCATGTGTTAAAAGATTAATAGATGATACGAACGTTATTTAGATCAGCTTGGTCATACTAAACAATATGGAATAATTATTGAAATTAATATATGAATAGCAAAATCATTGATTAAACAAAATTTCCAATGCGGATGTTAAAAGATTAATAGATTATATGAGCGTGTCATTAAAATACAGGGGAAAAATAATGATTAAATCACTGCACATTGGACACGCAAAAAAGGATAATTTGGAATGGTAATGCGTTGAAAAATATTATTCAATGACTTCTAAAAAGCGAACGCGGAAAATAGAATTGAATACATTCGTGTCGAAATATGTGGTTTTGTTAGTTAACTTCACAAACTCATAAATCGTTTGCTTCGATTCTATTGGAAATAACGGTCGCTAAACTTTATCGTTAATTACATAATTGAAAATGGAATTTTACATTCGTCAGAAGTGAGTATAAAATACGCTTCTTTCGAAAGTTAAATACTGATAATAGCAACAATAATGATCTTTATTATTTTCACTTTATTCGTTCCACTGATTGCTAAGCCAAGGATTGAAGGATTGTAACACTTGAAGAGCTTTCCTCGTCGCCTTTTATCACACCGACAGATTTAATCAGTTTCTCTCATTCCAGTGAAAATGATCCATGTCACGCGATAAAACGAGACACGTAAGTATCTGCTACCTGGACGTGCAAGGCACGTGCTGTCTACGTATCGTTCTCGTCTGTCGAACGATGGAGTTAATTTCATCTGGAAACAAGCGACCGTGTTTGAAATCGAATTTGAAAAAAACATTGTTGGAAAAGAACCGTCAGGCATGTATATATATATACACGCGTGACGTGCATTTCATTGCTAAGTTTCGCACATCCGACGTCACTGTCGACTGTGTGTCGAAAAATAATTCACATGACACTGTTTTAAGAGACCTTGACAGTCCCCTGAAGCACGTGGGGGTTATGTAAGTTGACGCGTTCGGGTAACCAGCCAGATCCAGTGTTCCTCATTTCCCTAGTCATCTTCCTTCGAATGTATATATAGATACTATCCGTTGTTTAAAAGAAAAGTCCTCAGGAACGACACAGAATCAAGAAGGGTCTCCCGCTAGGGATTTTGTTTATGGTTTTGATTGGTTATGTGTAACCATAATAACGAACAGCAAATTAGTATCGCAAATGAAATGAGAAAAGATGAAAGCTGACCAATGAAACTCGCATTCTTTCCAGAGGACTTCTCTTTCAAATTGACGGTACGTGTCGCGAGACAATTCGAATGTTGAAACGTATGAGTAGGAGAACCAGGAAAACCGTTAACGGAAACTGATTCCTGTGAAGTGGACAATGGTCGGACACCTTATCGCGCCCCTTAACGCAGAAGGTACACCTTGAAAACGGATGAACTGCAATAAAATACAAAGCCGTAAATAATTTCGCAAGGCTGCGTTTGAAAATAGTACACCGCAAATCCCGTGCCAAATGCCTTCTAATGTCACACTTGTGTTGGTCACGTTCTCATTATGTGTTATAGATCCGTGCTCCACTAAAATCGCCGGGGCCGGGAACAACGAGAGTAAGATGTATTACAACTATGATTGATGAAATCCAGTGGATCAAGACGACCATGGCCAGACGTTGGTCTTTGGCAAACTAATCGTTTCTCGCATTTCTATTCGCAGTCGTCGAGGAAGGTCGAGATAGGTTATAAAAATGTGTGCAAAACGGATGACAAGGCCTAGGCGTTAAATAATCAGGTGTTGAATTACTGGCCGTAGGGACGATCGTCAATGACGATTAATGCGATTAACAATAAAGCATTATTTGCCGAGCGAATGCTGGAAAATCTTTTGTACGTTAACGCTGCAACGATACTCACTGCGAAGGTAATTCGACGACAGCTACACCCCGCTGACGGGTTCTCGAAAAGCAGATCCGCTTAACTAAAACTCAACGGTGTACATATTCGATGAGGATGCCGGCACACATTTCACTGATTCGCGTGATCGCAGTGAACGATCGGGCAAGAGTTGTAGAGATGTGGCGACACCGTCGCGACGCGCGGTGACCACTAGAGGGCTGCAAATTACTGTCATCGGTTCATGTTTCTCATGGTATATTTATAAAAACTCGATTTACTTACCTTGCAAGCTCACCACTGCATGTTACCTTCAAACGCGAACGTTACTTGATGCAGGGAACGTTAAAACGATTTATCCAATTAATTCGACGGGGTTTAACCGAGTATCACGTTTTGGAATGCACAAATACTTGACCCCTTCGAAATAGACGTTCGATTTTGACGTTCCCGCTGAGTTCAAGCTGTCAGGGTACTACTATACACGCCTGAATGTATGCAATTTGTGTAATGTCACCTTGTGGTATGCAACCCAGCAACCGTTGCTCCTAACAGTATACAATCTGTTTACCGAGCAAAACGCCTTTGTACAAGCAACCCGATAGACGCGTGACTACCGACTGTAGTGGTACCGCTATTGAAGTATGAGAATAGGGTGAACATTGAATGCGATAGTATTTTATGGCGACAAATGTACAGTAAGACTCCTTATAACACGATTAAAAGATTGTTGAAAAATAATTGTAAAAGTGAGACACTTCATAAGAAAATAATACAAGTAAAGGAAGTTGGATTAGTATCTAACAGTTAAATTCAACCCAAAATTTGTAAACGTGAATTCTTATAACGCGGAATTATTCTGTACACTGTATGTACATTAAATAGCGTTTATAAAGTACAGTATTACAGAAACACAATTTTCATTACTTTACGAACGTAAATATCTTTCAACATACATTTATTTTATAAATCATCCAACACATATAGTTAATTACAATTTTATACGTGCACTTTAAATCACGGATCACTTTTAATGAAAGATAGTTTCAGTTACTTTTAGTATTTTTAATTTATAGAAAATTACATAAATCGTTTGATTTTTCTGATGTATTTGATATTTCAATTATTTCACTTATCACAAATTGGTGTTTCACGCAAGAAAGAAATGTATGATATTTAAATCAATTTATATATTATATTCACATTTTTTGTACAAAATGTATTCTCTTCACAATGTTGAAAAACAAGTTAGTCAAATATAATTGATACCACATATATTGTTATTCTCATAGTAATTGTAAAATAGCAATCTTTGTTTATTACTTTGTGTCCCGCATAATTTATGTACAAAATTACGCGTCCTTTCAGGAGACCTTACATGTATACATACTGATACTATACCAGAATAAAATAAATTTTTCGTTATTTTACAGCGGCGTGTCTGTACAAATTAGGCACTCGTTTATCCTCATAGAGAAATATACATGGAAGTCTCGAGTACTGGATATTATAATAGCCAATATCTTAATGCTAATAAACAAAGCAGTGTCATGTGTTAGCTACAGTCTAATAAAATAAAAGATGTAAAACATGGTACAAATGCAAAGGATGTATGATGAATGGATGTACAATAAATAGCAAAGATCGTTCCAAAGAATCAAGACACACGAGCTAACTAAAACCTACTATTTACACAAATTGTTATATCAAAATATATTTTTTTTATTACATAATTAGTTATTTTTTTTCGTAAAATGTTTGTCCGTGAGCTAAAAAATAGAATTAAAAAGTTACACCTCGTCAGAGGCAAGCACCTCAGATACAGCAGGCGACGCAGCCTTCTCTTTTCTTTCTTCCTCTTTCATTTGAAGAGCAACAGCTGATTCGAGTACTCGTATCCTTCCCTCGTGCTTCACGATTACCGCTTTTAATTTTCTTATTTCTTCGGTAAATTCTTTCAACAATTCCTCCTGTTGGAATATCGTAAGATTTATATACTACTGAAAAAGCATCCTTTAACCCTTTTAGTGCTAAATACTCCCGACCGAAACGTTCAGTGTGGACGAAATATTTTTTTGCACTTCTTACCGTTTGAAGATCGATGAACTGTGTTAATTCATACAAGGTGTAATTAAGTTGTAATTGTAATTTCTCAGTTTCACCAACTTGAATACTGATAGGAAATGTGTATATTGTTACAATGTCTTACACCTTATATTTGTCATCACAGCATATGTGATATTAAAAAGATTGAAAAACGCATGTATGTGTCCATAGCACTCAAAGGGTTAAACAAAAATATTAGATTGATGTATTATATAAAATGTCAGATTTTTCTTACTCAAAAATGTTTATACTCCTAGCGTTATTTATTTGTTTTTCACATAACAAACAGTTTCATTGTCTATTATCAGAGTTACGTTCTGCAACAAAATTTTTCCAAATTGTGCATAATAACTGTTTCTTGAATAGTTTTTTAAGAACATGGATACCGCTAACATTCGTGTACTTTTTTTATATGAATTTAAATTTGGAAGTGATGCTGTAAAAACCGCTCGAAATATAAAGAAAGCATTTGGGGATAATATTGTGAATGAAAGAACAGTGCAGTGTTGATTTGCAAAATTTCGTTTCGGTGATGTTTCTTCGCAAAATAAGTGCGTGGTAAATTCGAAACAGTAGTTTGTAACGATGGCTTGAAATTAATTCTAAAAATTCAGAATTTTTCAAAAAAGGAATACATTCATTGAAAACATTTTGTAGATCAAAAATGGTTTCCCTTTTTCCACAAAATCCGACATTTCATATGCACCAACCTAATAGATGCAAACTATTCATATTTGTATACGTACAGTAATGCCTGGTACTGCTTGCGTAGCATTCTGCGCATTAGAAGCAACTTTTGCTCCTTTACCGAGAACGTTCGTCTTTTTAAGAACTTTAAGATCGTTCTTAGCTACCGAGGGTTGATAACCATCTCGTAAAGAGATAAGTATGGGCTCTGCATCGGTTCCGCCTACCCATTCCTCCGCGGAAATTGCAGCCGTGTCACCTGCAGTATCTGGATATAAATCTTCTTGGAATAATCCAGACTAAAAATTGATAAATATTAATAAGTACGCCAGTTGAATGGTTGTACAGTGAACATTGGATAATTGCAACATCGGGGATCTCCTCTAATTACAATATCGTCATCCCCACTATATCTTGTGTCATGTTTGGTGTCATTTTAATCAGAAAAATATAATAAACATGACGGTGAACGTTTCATTCGCCAGAAGTAAAAAATAAAGAAATTTGATTTCTGAGTTAAAGGTCCCAAGCTCATGCAAGTCTTTAATATTGTCGAACGCTTTAACTCTTAGTCTTTCTTTTTCCTTCATTCGCGTTGTCCTTTTCTACGTCCGTCATGCTAAAATCTCCGTTTCTTGGGGTAAATTCGATTATACCTCTTCATAATGGTAACTTTCCAATCCCGTTGAGTGTTACAATTATCCAATATTCACTATAATCATTTTTCGGCTTTGTATATGCTACCTTTCTTGGTACTGTCATAGAAATGACTTGGCAAAACCCTGAGTTATTGAGCCGGTAAAATCTAGTTATTTCACAGCTATTAACATCACAGCCTCGTTTTGGCATCATTCCTATACCTCTTTGAGGATCAGGAGTTTGAAACGTATTGATATAATGAACAAACGGGGGTTCAGGAGTAATTTCAAAATATCGAATCACAGAATCACCCTTCCCACATAAATACACCAGATTTGTATCTGGATCGTACAAAGGAAACATCACTCCGTTGCTGGTGTCCAGTTCTACCATCACAATAGGTTCACCTAACATGTCAGGGGCACGCAACGAATATTGCCTCTCAGACATTTTGCTGAAACCTGTACTAAAAATCAAGCCTCCCCTGAAAACATAATTAAACAGAACCTTGTGGATAGAGAGCTTCGTTCGAATACTAATACTTTTAAAACGTACAAACATACATACAAATCGAAATCTTACAACTTATTTCTAATTACTGCATGCTTACACTATTGTAATTGTTTGTACAATCTTGGCTTATCAAATTCTCTTACTTATGTTAATCATCAAAGCTGAATAACATCCACCTTGTTACATCGTTTGAAAGTAGTGCTTCTCGCACAAAGTTTTAAACTCGTGTTGAACACATATATGTAAAACAACATGAAACAAGTACAGCGACAATTAAGGGAAAGTGCTTCATTTGTATACTCAAAAGTCATTGTGAATTGTATGCAAATAGAAGTCACTGTACTAGCCGAACACTATGTTTGTAAATGGTATACCTGAATGAATCGTCTATTCACTTGTTCTTCGAAACAGATATTAATAACATCAGAAACTACGCTAACTATCTTATTATTCTGAATACAGAAAAATCATACCTCTCTGTCGCAATGTGTTTTGTATTAGCGTAGTTACATCACAGTCCATTGTACTTATATACATATTCATTGATCGACATGTACAAAATGTTACACTTTAAAGTAATAACTTGAGATACAATACTTACTGCAACTTTTTATGAAGATATTACACAGTGGACATCTTGATATTTGCATTTATTAAGCTGACATCCTCCTGATGTTGTCTTTTCAATCTTGCAGTTTTCCATTAAAAAATACCAAATCTCGCGCTACACAAATTGGAAAGACCATGTGATAATAAAAAATAAAGGTATTCTTAATATGCAAGTAAGTATATCATTTATAGAATTCTTATGAATGTTTCTTCTACAAAATGTAGATCGCTTGTACACTTTTGAAATTATTGCGCTCTATTAAAACATCTTGAATACAATTAGTCTTATCACTGCAAGTAATAATTGATATATACATATATATGTATATATACACACATACATATACATACAGCTATATATGTATGTATATATGTATGTATATATATAATCGTTCTTTTTTTATCTTCAATATGCTTATTGTGTAAAAAGGCGGATGTATACTGTTTGATGATTATTTGATGTGAAAGGTATGTTGATAGTGTTTCGCATAATAGAAATAGTTGTTATCGCTAGAAACATGCAAATAAAAATATTCATCTACAATTGATTTTAATACATTATCGATAAATATAAAAAAATATGTACAATTTATAAAGATACAAATAACACACCTGTGAAATAGACGCATAAAATATTTTCCATTCAATTTTTATAATTGCTCACACCAATTAGTCAACCATGTCTATTTACAATTAGATGTAGCTGTTTAATACAAAAGGTAAACAGTGAAATTGGAATCAGTATTTTTATTCTAAAACTATTTGCCAATTGGTATAAGCAAGCGAAGATTAAAATCGTGAGTGTACTGTGTACTGCATAACAGGTTTGTTAAAATGGAATGCAACAATTATTTGGTACTAAAAGCACTCGTGTGCTAATCAATAATTAGCTTTTACATACCTGAGAAAGATTGCACGTGTAGCTTTACTGCCTTCGTGCGCAATAGCCTCCTCTAATATTTCTCCGGATCGTGGATCCAAAATCCGAATTTTCTTATCTTTACAAGTAGTGACTAATCTGGATCCATCCCAGTTCCAACATGCAGAATAAATCATGTCTGGATGACAATCTATTTGTACCATTGCTGCTCCAGTACCAACATTCCAAATAACGACAAGATTGTCAGATCCAGCTGTGAGCAACACATTTGACGCGGTTGGATGCCATAGAACAAGACCGACTCTACGTTGATGTATTTGAAGGTCTACCACTGAGTCCGTTAATGTCCTAGAGATACCACCATCAGGTATTTGCCATACTTTTACAACGCAATCTTCAGAACCGGATGCTATGACATTATCATTATGAGGACACCATGCAATATCTAACACTGGACCTTTATGTCCACCTACTAATGGATAATCAGCTGGTATCCGTCCAACCTATAATAATTTGAAATTAACATCAGATTTACTTAAGGGAACTTTTCTTAATGGTTTTATATAACAATATAAATGTCGATTTACACGTTTAACACGTTTGCTACCATAGACCACCTTAGTAATGTATTTTTATTCCATATATCATGGAATAAATCATTCAATCAAATCAATCAATAGCTTTAATCGTTCTATAGAAATTCTATATTATATATTATTTGGTATTTTCTCATTGTAAATAATTATCGCGTTGTTTTCAAATGAAAGTTAGCCCTAATATATACAATGTAATCTACCCTTTTAGTAAACGCTTCGCCAAGATTTCATTACATCTGCTAGGCTCATAGTACTGCCGCATTACAATTTCATTGGTAGCAAACGCATTGACTATTCGTTTGATACCTTAATACATTTACTAGCGAAGAGAAGAGAGAAACTTACTTTGTTATGTGGTAAAACTATGAAAGCACCACCGCCTGCGGATTCCACAATGATAGCCAGGAACTTTGGGTTCACGGCGCAGAAGGTCGAGTCCCAGGAAGACTTGGACACCCTTATATTGTCGTAACATTGTTCACGTTTTAAAGGTGTTCCGTACACGTGGCGGAACTTGCTGGTGCGCACAACACGGAAAGACATATCTGCACCTATTTCGTTCAACGAACAAACAAACGAGGAAGAAAAATGAAAGCGACGGCGATTAACCTAAAGAAAGTAGATGGGGTACCTTGCTGTGCCGGTTACTAAGATTATTTTTTTAATAAATTATTATTACGTGCCCACCGTCGGCGTGGGTGTCGCGTGGACCATCCCTGTTTTATAAATAGATTCCCCACCCTCGATGTTGAAATGAGCGCGACTGGGAATAAGAATATTTTCGAATCCTATGACTTTTACGGATTTACAGTGTTCAATGCTCGCCTGGTTTCGACGTACACATACACTGCACCACAGTGTTGCCAATTATCTCGAATATCGTCGGAAATCCTTGTATAGGCCATACTTGGCGAATCGAAAAATAGATCGGATCCACCCGAAAATAAACCAGCCGCGGCTTTTATATGACGATGATTCACACCCCAATCGTTATAGCGTTCCCGAATTTGCGTTACTCGCTGAATTTGAAATAGCGTTAACGTAATTTTCTGCTTCATTTCGAAATCGATTTACACTAATCCCATTCATCCTGTAAATTGGATTATATATATGTATATGTATATGTATATATATATATATATATACCAATAAATTATATATTATCCAGCCATTTTTCAAGATCAACGTTGATACTGTATATGTCGACCGGGAGGCGGTTCCGGTTAGGGGGCGTATTGAAATTTTAATCACTTTACCGGAGAATGCACTTATAGGTCAATTGCATTCAATTTAATATCTTCCACGGTGAAATTGACTTAAATTGTCTTTTCGCGTGTGAATAGACGAAGCTCTACCTTAGCGACGAAATCGCAGAATGTTTATCATCCCTTCAACGTGATGCCCCTATTTTCAACAGTCACGACGACAAAAAAATCCAGTCTCATCGATGAATGATTTTTAAACACGGAACGCAATTATTCAGCGTATGAATCACACGCTCCTTTAGAAAGCTGAGTAACGGAATAAGTTCTACGTCCCGATTAGTAGTTCTGCTATCGTCGACAGATTGACGCTCACTGTTATCCTTTTGCGCTAACTGTATTTGTATCAGCAATAATCCACTGTTCTTTTCACGCAGCGTAGAATTACCGAATTTACGAATCACATTATCAAATTTTCTCATTCACCTTTAACTAATAAAAAAATTCAAAAATTTGAAATATTGAACATACAAAAATCAAATTCGGTGCAGCGTCGAGTTCATTTTTCAATTGGCCGGTGATCGAAGCGAACGTGCTAGAACACATTAAATTAGTATAAATTCGGAATAAAACGACGGTAGCTTCAACGGGGAATCACAGTACCGCTCGTCGTTAAGAACTACGGTGACTCCGACGATTTTTCGAAATCCCTTTTTAGGGAGGGGAAAAAAGCCTCCGAAAGAAGAAAGAAACTATTAATACCTATATTTTAATCGAGAAATCACCTGCGATTCTGTTGCGTTACGAGATATACCGCACTGTGGGTGCAGGACACATACGAGCACCAAAAGAAATATTTAAACGTATGCACGGATGTACAGCTCACGATCAAACATTACACCAGCGTACTGTTGACACATAGTAGTAGACAAGAGTCCTCTGTGTTGTTGATAAGAATGCAAGACTGCATCCGTGGCTACGTGAATACTTTTAAAAGCCAACACTTTGGAATTTCAACGTTCCCGCCGGCGAGCAATAACGTTTCGCATCGTAATTCAACCGACCATCACGTAGCGGCGCTATCGACACGGACTGGCTGGATCATTTGAGAGCACCTTATTTGGAAGCACCTGCTCCCGCGAATACCTACCCCCCGAAAGTTACCAGTTTTCGCACGTTATTATTATGACTTACAACGTGCCGCTGTCTGTGAAACTTTCCTAACTATCGATCACACTTCACCTCCCTCGGCTTAATTCTTCTTTTTAATCGAACACTTCGTACGCACGAATCGAACGGGCTGCGTACGCCACGGGCGAAATTAAACGAAATCGTTCGACGAACGTTACGAGGAACACGCGCGTCCGCGAGGGGATCCTTTTTTTTTATGCAGAGTATGTTTGACCGGAGGAATCTTACCGATAAAATTTTTTCCCGATGACAGACGATGCACGCTTTTGGAAAAGAAGTCTCCCCACCCCCCGACGTCTCATGCGTTTACAAGAATGATAGCTGCGCGCGCTTCCTAAACGCAACATGGCGTCCCACTTGCGGAACGTTCGAATATTTTAAGTCTTCGTAATTAGAATTGAAATTTTTCTATTTGATTTCAGATAGATTGAGGCTGATTTTGTTGGTAAATGTTATGTCTTGTGAGCGATTTATGCCGGGAAGAATAATTTATAAACATGCATAGACGAAACTGTAGTAAAACGATGTACCCAATGTATAGGGTGTTTCTAAATGAACGTGCTTATAGCAAATACGTATTTAGGTGTGAGAATCAAGGTATTAGTCTTTATTAGATATACTTTATATTTTAATTAATTTAATTTTTAAGTATAATTTTACTATACATCTGAATAAAATATATCCGAAAATAAAATCATTCTGTAAATGTATGTGTAATGTATTGTCACAGAGTATTCCTATAAGACAGAAACTTTGGTCACAAACTCTTAAATGAACGAAACTCTTGAGTTGTTTGAGAACTAATTATCAATTGCGGATACGTGCGATAACAGTTTTCTATGAATGTAGCTGTAAAACCCTGCCATATTAGATGTGTAGGAGCAGGTTTGTAAAAATATGTGCTTATCGGAGGAAGGGGTTGAGGGAGGGGGGTTATTACGTTTAATCAGATTGCTAAATACAGATTAAAATATTGCAAAGCTACGTTCGTGCACTAATGTCTTAAGGCTATAAAATAGATGACTGCTTATAATTGAAAATATTTGTTGAAATATATATAAGAATATAAGTATAAAATATTATATATTATGTAAAGAGCACTGTGAAGACAAATGCATAATACAGGACAAATTAAAAAAAATATATAAAGAACAATGTTGCAATTGCAAGTTCTCTATATCAAAAATATTCAGAAGTGCATTCAGGAGCTCTAATTGAACTGAAACAAAACAAATGTATATACATTTATATTACAAATATTTTAGACTTGCCAAGTGATTATATTATTTAAATCATTTATTAATATTAATCTCAATGATTTCTCTTAAGTGTAATAATTTACAGTATTTTATTTTAATAATTATATTTATAAAAGCAGAAACTTCGCTGTTTAGTTTTTGAACATGATTTCCATGTATATAATTCCACAGAGTATTTTTTATTACATTAAAATTGTAGCGTATAAAGAGTTTAAAAGGATATTGTAATTTATATTTGTTATTATACTGGATATTGAAGAAGTAATTCTCTTAAATTGTAGTTTTAAGTAATTCGTCTCAATTGCAAGTTATATTATAAAGATTAAACCTTAAGCTTTTCATTTTATCAATCAATTATATAACGTACTGTGTATTTATCTTCAAATGCACAAAGAAATATTATAGGAAAAATAAGAATGATACAAAAAAGTAACGGGATTGTAGCTACACTTAATAATGAGTCACAAGACAACAAAAAGAATTTTTTTCATATGTATAATAGATATTTAGATGATCTCATTACTAATGTTGTTAAAATTCAAATAAGTTTCTAAAATAGTAATTCTCGTAGAAGAAAATATTCCATGAAATACAATTTGCTTGAAATCTGTATTTTTTTCAACATAACTGGTATATTCATTTACTAATAATTTAATCTACCTTCCATTGATCTCTAGAAATGATGATATAAAAAGTAGTTCTCAAATCTTTAGCAGAAGATACATAATCTTTTAAAGAAATAGAAATTAAAATTAATTATACGGTAGACATAATAGACTTCTTGGCTTGTATTAGACTGAAACAAAAGAAATTCTTTGTAGGTAAATTGTTTAACAGAATAGAACAGAAGTGCCGAAAAAAATTTAATACTCTACAATAGATCTATGTAATTAGAAAACTGGTATTGTTTTATTAGAAAAATAATTGAAAAACATAAAATATAAGGTAGATAATAAAGTTATATACTATTGAACTTGATTTAAACAGCATAAAAACTAGTAAAATAAAAATTTCTTTAACGTTCACTCAATTACGGCAGGATTACTAGAGTATGTATAATAATGAAAATATGGAATATGAACACATTAATTGATATTAAAAATTTATTCAAATTTTATCCTAATGAGCATAAGATTTAATAAAAATTGATAGATGATCACAATTAATATTTATTTAATTAACAATGAGAAATATGGTACAAAACATAAAGTAAGGGATTAAATTATAATATTAAATTTTCTAAAATATCCACACAAGAACAATCTTATAGAGTATTAGTGTATTAGATCTAAATATTAAATAGATGAAAAAACAAAGAATTATTTCAATATAACTTTGCTCTTAATTTTATAGAACTACATAATTAATAAAAGTAATTTCACAAATAAAACTATAAATTAATATGTTTATAATTATTTATAAAATAAATGTACGCGTAAAAAAATGTATGCTTACGAATCAATGAAAGTTGCATTTTTAAAATATTATTTCCATCGTTTAAATATACCCGCCGCTTGCATTTATCGTTGTCAGTGACGTTAAACACTCATAGCAGAAATGAAGTATATAGCTAATTCGATTTCTACTAATAAACCTAAAATCTTGAATTATCGGTAACGTTGAGCGCGACACGAAAATGGTATAGCAAATCTAATTTCTATAAAATATAACGTCTGTGCAAATCCTAAGTCTGTGTCTCATTAAATATAATTAATGTTTAAGTTTAAACATTTTTGTATCAGATTGGTGCTACAAGCAGTATTAGACAGAACATAATTATATTAACAATTGAAAATTAAATGACGATCTTAATTAAAGTTGTAATTAACTTGCAATTATTTTCATTATGAATTCTTAATTTTATTATGATAATTAATAAAGATTAACTGCTAATTATAATTGCAATTGATTGAGTAAATATTAAGTCAATACATCACTGGTCACAACTGAAATTTCGCAAAATGAATTTGTTAAAAAAAAAGGGAAACCTAAAAACTTTAAGAGAAGCTGTTATTAAGTTTCTCAACATTTACGTTATTACAGTTGAAATATATCTTATTGTAACATGCATAACGAGTAGGACATTAAATAAATAGCTTCCATAATTTTTGTAAGAAAAAAATAATATTCTATGGAATTATTTCTTTCATACTTTTTGTTGTGTCCGTCATCTTCGAGATTTATCGTTTGATACACGGTTTTTTACTATCACTAGTAATACAGTTTTTAACCCTGTTAACGGAATGTGTTCTTCGGATCTTCGTTCGTTTCGTTCATTCAATTTGTTTCGATTTAGCCGTGTTCTCATTTACATAGTTAAGAATACTTCGAATTTGGAAATGGCCACAAAAATTGTTACTAGACTATGTGTATCTATTTATTTTAACCCTTTGCACTCGGAAGCTTTTCACTAGAAACATTCGACACTTTCCTATGAGACGTAGATAACATTATTTAAAACGAACTAATGAGAGAACATACTTAAATTAAGAAACAAAGCTATTTTATACAAATATTTCACATATTGATGCATTATGCGAAACTTGATATTATATATAACATAACATTATAACATTTGTAATTTTGTTATATTGAATCAAATGGTGACTGAGAGTTACCTCTCATGTGCAAAGGGTTAATAATATTTCAAATACGCAGATAAATCGAGGATCATAGTAGGGTTAAAATAACACAGTAAAAATCACAGTAATACGTTAATACTAGAACTACCAAGCATTTAAACCGTCTTTTTAAAATTTCTTTATAAATGCTAAAAGTGTGAATTTATTAAGATTTCAATTGGTTTATAGTTCAGTTTAAGTATTACTAAATTAAATTCTTTAATCATTTTTTAAATAAGTGGCTGTGCCTTTGTAACAATTGTAAGAGAAGACATCAGGAATGGGTCATTTTGACCTACCTGGCAGTCTAGTGTTAAATACGTCAAGGGTGTCTAAATCGGTGCCCTTGTGTACTCTAGTGACACTCCCCTCATAGCGTTCCCCCACTACCTCTACTCAAAGA